GAAGAAAAGAGAGAAGGAGGACCAACAGATTAGAAGAGACTTATCAGTCAAATATAATGTGTGGGGCTTCCGGGTTCCTGATTCAAACAAACCAATTATTCAAAAAATTATGAAACAGGCGTGCCTGGGTGGCTCAGATGGTTAAGTGTCTGCCTTCGATCAGATCATGATTTCTAGGTCCTGGGATTGAACCCCATGTCAGGCTCCCAGCTCAGCAGGGAGTCTGCTCCCCCTTCTCCCTCTGCCTCTCCCCCTGCTTGTGCTTTCTCTGTCTCTGTCTCTCTCTCTCAACTGAATAAAATCTTAAAAAAAAAAATGATGTGACAATCATGGAAATGTGAACAGCTCGATGGACTTGATGTTGGTATTCCCCCCAAAGTCACATGTTGACTCTTAACCTCCCCAGTGTGAGGTGAAGTGATGGTATTGGGTCATGGGGCCTTTGGTAGGTGCCCTCATGAATGGGATTAGTGCCCTTATAAAAGAGACTCCAGAAAGATCCTTCTACTCTTCTGCCATGTGAGGCTACAGCCAGAAAGTACAGTCTATGAAACAGAAAGCTGGCTTTCATCAGTTGCTAGCACCTTGATCTTGAACTTCCAGCTTCCAGAACTGTGAAAAGCAAATTTCTATTGTTCGTATGCTACCCCATCTATGGAGTTTGTTAGAGCAGCCCAAACAGACTAAGACAAACTGTGACTGATTTGATGATATTAAGGAATAATTATTTTAGGTGTATTAATGGTATTGTGGTTGTTAAAACAAATTTTAAAAACCCTCTGATACCATGTGAGAAAGAAGGTACATCACCTCTGTGATATTCTTCCCCCAAAATGCAAACCCCAGTCTAACCCAGTCTAACCATAACTGGACCGACCCAAACTGGGAGATACCCTACGAAATACCTGACCAGTACTCCTCAAAACCATCAAGGTCATCAAGAACAAGGAAAGTCTGAGAAGCTGTCACAGACCAGAAGAGGCTAAGGAGACATGACAACTAAATGTAATGTGGGATCACGGATGGGATCCTGAAACAGAAAAAGAACATTAGTATAAAAAAATCAGGAAATTCAGTAAAGTCTGGAAGTATAGTTAATAGTAATGTTCCAATACCGGTTTCTTAGTTTTGACAACTGTACCAGGGTCATATGAAATGATACTATTAGGGGAAATAGGGTGAGGGTTATACAGAAATTCTGTTCTCTTTTTGTCTTCTGTAAGTCTAAAATTATTCTGAAGTAAAAAATTTATTTTAAAAAAGTCCTGATTTTCTAGAGATATCTACTAGCAGTTAAAATGAAATGATGGGTGGTCTGGGCCTTGCTTTAAAACAATTCTTTGGTTGGAGGGCAGCTGGGTGGCTCAGTCAGTTGGGCATCTGCTTTAGGCTCAGGTCATGATCTCAGGTTCCTGGGATGGAGCCCCACATCAGGCAACCTGCTCAGGACTCCCTGCTCAGTGGGGAATCTGCTTCTCCCTCTCCCTCTGCCCCTCCCCCCTGCCTGTGCTCTCTCAAATAAATAAAACTCTTAGAAAAAAATAAAAGAATTCATTGGTTGGGATTGGGGGCATATATATGAAATGAGGCTGGTCTCACAGTGGCCATTGTTGATGCTCAGTGACGGCTGGATCTTTCTTTGACAGCTGTCTCCACTTCTGCATGTCTGTAAACCTTAATAAAACAAACAAGTAAGGATCCTGGAGAGAGACTGCCTCAGAAGTGTTAATCTGGCCGTGTGCTGCAGGTTTGTTACCTATCATATATGGGATGATTGTACCTGCCTCACAGAGTTGTGAAAATTCAGTGAGTCAACATGCCAAAAGGCTGGAGAAATGCTTAGCTATTCTCAGCATCTTATGGGTGGAAAGGTGGTCACAGACCAAAGCCCAGCAAGGCAAGTCATCTTTCTCCACCCTCTGACACTGCTCAACGTCCTTTCTCCCCCAGTCCTCCTGCACAGAGATCGTTGAAGGATGGAAGGAAGAAGGGCTCCAGGGCAACACTAGCGAGTAAGGAAAGACCTCCGCACCCAGTCTTGCAACCAGTCTTGCAACACGATGAGACTAGCTGGGGACGGAGGGTGGTGTCCCTGGTGTGGGCTCTGGGAGTTAGACCCTGGATTATGAGCCACTCAGGGTTCAAGTGGCTGAAAGCAGCTAATGTGGTGGAAAGGAGGGCTAGCAGGGGAGGGGTTCTGATTTCAGAAAGTAGAGGTCAGCAGGGGTGGGCCATGCCGGCCTTTGGGGCCCTTCCAAAAGTGAGCTCCTTATCTCAGAAGCAGGGGAAGCCACTGGAAAAAGTTCAAGTGTGAGGTGGAGGTGGGGGTGGGGAGGGGAGGGGAGGGAGTCACCCAATCAGACCTGCATTGTTGAGACTGCCAAGGGGAAGAAGGAAGCATTGGAAGAGGGCCAGAGGGAAGCAGGGAGAGCTGTTAGGCTTCCATAGTGGCTCAGGATGTAGATAATGGGAGCTTGATCTAGGATTCCAGCAGGGGAGGCCAGTGGATTTGAGAGCTGTTTTAGAAAACACTGGGCCTCTGGCTGTGTTTGGAAGGTGAGGGTGAGAAAGTATGCAGGGGATTTGCAGGTTTCTTGGGGAGTCAACTGGGTAGCAGTTGGGCTGCCTGCACACTGGGGAGCGGTGTGGGAGGAGCAGGAGGTGTGGTGGGGGGGAGGGTGCAGAGAGAAGTTCCTTAACAGGGACAATCACCACCACTGTGCTTTATGCAAGTCACACTGCTGGAGGAAGGGAGCTTCCAAAGCAAATACCGCAAACGCTTTCAGTGCCCTCAAGATCGGTGCCAAAAAAAGATCCACCAGCAATGGCTGAGTGGAGGAATCTCAAATGTGCGTTTATAGCTCCGGCGGTGATCACAGCAAAGGCCTCAGTCATTAAAGCCACTGGGAAGTCTTCAATAACTGTGTGTTGTGTGACTGAATGTCCCAAAACAGGTATCAGAAAAAAGACAACCCACAAACCTTTATTCAGCCATTATCATGTGTCTAGCCCCACCTTGGCATAAGACGGAGACAAGAAAGGGCAGGATTAGCCCCCTCCCTCAAAAGACGCACACAAGGGTTGAGAACAAGTAACCACACATGAGTGTTAGAGGAACACGGGGCAGACCGTCACTAAAGGCTGACCTAAAAGGATCCCACTTGGCGTGGCCAAAGAGGGGTCAGGATTGAGTCGGTGACCTGGTCCCACCAGGGGAAATATCACACAGGAAGAAGGCAGTAAAGTGCTTCCAGAGAAGGGGGGGCCTGCCTGATCCTGGAGGAGTGAGTAGAAAGTGGAGGGCGGGCTGGGAAAGGGGGACAGCCAATGAAGGGTCACCAGAGTCCTGGGAGAGGTGCCCCTAACCCTCTCGCAGTAGGGGGGCATCCTACACGGGCAGGAAGATGCCAGTCTTGCCTCGGACAACTACATGCTGAGATGGTTTATTTCTTTAAAGGAATTTAAAGTCCTGTCTTAAAAGTGGGGACATTTTCTGGGACGCCTGGGTGGCTCAGTTGGTTAAGCAGCTGCCTTCGGCTCAGGTCATGATCCCAGCGTCCTGGGATCGAGTCCCGCATCGGGCTCCTTGCTTGGCGGGGAGCCTGCTTCTCCCTCTGCCTCTGCCTGCCATTCTGTCTGCCTGTGCTTGCTCTCTCTCCCTCTCTCTCTGACAAATAAATTAAAAATCTGAAAAAAAAAAAAAAAAGTGGGGACATTTTCTCACTCTGAAGGCTCAGGGCGACAGTTCCTTCATTACCAGCAAAGCTCGGTGCACCACTTTCCTAGCCCCAGTCCCTCTCCCACACAAGCACCACCACCAAGAAAACAAAAACACAAAACACAAAACACCACCGCACCGACCTTTGCACAATTTCCTTTCTTCCTGCAAACTTCTGTCTGCCTCCGCTGCCCCCCACCCAAGGAAGGCCCGGTTCGCTTCAGCAGAGCCACTTTGCCCTTTTCCTAATAAAGTCCACTTCCTCGGCGCTGGAGGCAGTGGAGGACCGAGGGTACGAGGCGGCCCGAGACGTGGGAATGGCCCCTCCAAGCCTTCAGCCCCGGCCGTACGTCCGGGCTGTAGGTTCGATCCCCGTCTGCGTGGCCGTGTCGGGGGTCCCCGAGTAAAAGGGCCACTGTCACCGTGCTCCGAAGAGACCGACAGGGTCGGACAGAGGCAAGCTCTCGGCCGCGCCAGGGCCCGGGCGCCAGAGACCCGCCTGGGAGGTCGCACGGGAGGAGGGGGCTGAGGCGGGCTGCCGGGGACTGGGACTCTCGCTACAGCCCGCGGCCCCAGGGGATGACACAGCGTTTCCTCCGCACCCCGGCTCTCCCCGCATGTCCTCGTTCCATCCCCGGCAGGGCACCAGCCGGCCGACTCGCTACGTCAGCGGATTCCCCGCTGGAAAGGGCAGGGGTGGCCGGGGCCGCGGGGACCGCTCGGCTCGTGGCCGTAAACCATCGCGCCCTGCGGACCTGGCTTGGGGGTCGAGGGCTGGGAGCATGACCGCGGGGTGCGGACGCTGCCCGGGAGCTCCGCCAGCAGCTCTCAAAGAATGTCAGTTCCCACCCACGGAAAGTTAGAAGGCATCTCCGCCACGCCAACTTATCATCCAGAGCCGGAGTCGAACTTTCCGCCGGGAGTGGCTGGCTGCACAGCCGAAAGCGACCCTGCAGAAGCCGCTCGAACCCGGACGCCCCAGATCCCGGGCCGCGACCGGCAGCGACCAATCACAGAGCGCCTCCGGCGGGAAAGGCTGGAGGGCGCGGGCAGCTGAGGAGTGACGGCACCGGCGGCCAATAGGGAGCTAAGGTGGGAGTCCTCGCCCATCCTGCTCACCAATGGGAAAGGGATGGCTGGGGCCGAGGTCCCCCAGGCAATAGCTGCAGGCTCCCCGGTGGCCGCGGGTCGGAGACCCTAGGACTAAAGGGAATTGGGGAGAGGAGTTGGCTCACCCTCCCTGGGCCACCCGCCGACCCTCAGACCATAGCCTGGTCCTCACCTGCTGAAAGCGGGGTTTGCCCAGCTGGAACGGAGGTGCATCGGTCGAGGTGTTAGCGGCACTAGCTGCCGCCGCCGATGCTGTAGTCGCTGTATCCGCCATGGCCACTGACGCCTGCAATCTCCGGCCCTTTTAAAATGTCCCTCCTCGGCCCCCGCCACAGCTGCTTCTCCCGATTGGCCATAAGCAACCGCAGCGAGCCGGAGGCGCAAGGGGTTGTGGGGAGCGTAGTTTTTCTCGTCACGGGGGTTGACAACCCTAGACTGCGGAGAGTTGCACCGACTCAGACCCAGTCTCCTGCCCAGGTTCCTGCCGCCAGATCTGCAGGGCTCGGCCGCGTGGGAAGAGTGTGCGGGTACGACTCTAAGGTTCCGACAGAGGGCCACGGGGCTACCCCTCGCCGGTTACCTGCTCCTAGAAGTTTAGTTACTGCGGAGGGCATCGCTCCTGGGGCGCTAGCCCAGAAGAGCCCTACTCAAGCGGGTCCAACCGGGGACGAGATGGGCAAGGACTCCAGGATGTGTAGGGTTAATCCCGGAAAGCTTTCTGCAAGGACTTGCACTGCGGAATCTTCACGCAGTTCCTTCTGTGGCTACCTTGCCCCCTCCCTTTATGCTCTCCAGCCATCCTGACACCCAGAGCATGCTGGGCGCTCCCTGCCCCTGACCCTTGAACATTCTGAACCCAGTGAACTTCGTAACTTCTTATCTTTGCCTGACTCTGGCTCTCCTGACCTCAGCCTACACATTGCATTTCCCGATCCATCACCCTACTTCCCCATAATCCACTTCCGCTCCTATAGTACCCAGCACTTTTTTGCAGCCCGGGTACTTAGTTACTTATGGTTCTGCGTATGGGTTTCCTACTGTAAGGTCCACAGGACAGGAGGTGTTCTACCGCTGAGTCCTCAGTGCCAGGCTTGGCAGGGTTTGCAGCAAGGACTCAAATATTTGCTGACTGTGTGAGTTAAACAGTGGGAGCTTCAGAGCCTGGGCAGGTTCCACTTTCTTTGTCCAACTAAGGAAGATCCCTCCCCAGTCTAATTCCCAAGCAGGAGAGAATTGGGAGTGGGGAGTGGGGTTCAGTAGTGTTTACTAAGCACTACAAGGAGTTTAGGTAAGAGAGAGCAGCGCATACACAGGGTAAGACACCAGCAAGGATGATAATAAACCCACTTATGTTGTACAGAGTAGAAGATTCCTAGCTGAATTAGCTGGTCAGTGAGCCAGGCTGGGGGGAGGGGAGGAAAGCTCTCTGTTTCACCCAAGAGGACAGTAGAAATAATTTTGACCTTAGGGAATCCCACTTTAGGTTTCCTTCGTCTCATGGTGAGGTGGTGAGGTGCAGCATTGGCTCGTGCCTGCCCATGTCTTTCTGGACAATGCACGCACGATCTAGAGCAGTCAGTTCCCTCATCTGTCAACAAGAACCATGAGAAACAGACTATTCCTAAAGCCAGAGAGAGGTGCTAACTAGCCATGAAGAATCATTTGTATCTTGGATTTGTATCTTTCCCAGCCAGACTAAGCAGTCTCAGAATAAGAATCAGGTCTTTTACCCTCTGTATTCTCCCACAGTACTCAAGGAATGTAGGTCTCTTGGCAAAGACAAGACTGAGTCCAGGCCACTGGGCAATGCTGTGCTGCCCCTAGTGTTAGTACAGAGGCAGCGACACTCCAAAACCCCATCACCTGCCTTCTCCCCCAGAAAGCCTCCTTTTCATACATTTATCAAAACAGGAACACCATTGAGCCACCTGCAGTATGGGAACTTTTTATTCTTCATAAAGTGCTCAAAACATGAAGAACAAGCTCTTTATAAACAGGAGTTACAACTAGGAAGACAAACAGCAAAGCAGAACTGTGCCTGCTCTCTGCCCACCCTGCCTGCAACTCTCCACGTTGTGGCCAGGAGCAGAAACGTCCGACAAGAACCCTGGGCTTCAACTCACAACTCTCCTGAAGACATCCTTGCCCTGGGCATTTTGGAGGGCCATGGTCAAGGATGAGCAGAAGATCAGGGTCAGGGCTGATAATAAGTAGAGCCCGGAAGAATATGTAGTAGAAGAGGTCTCCCCTTCCCCCAGAAGAGATACCTACCCAAATCCCAATGACCCCCAAAAAACATGACCCAAGACCTGCACACCTGTGGACACTTTCTCAGCTTTGATGAGTGATCCTTAGGGTAGGTAACATTACAGAGACTTTCCGCTCATGTGTGTGGGTGGGGTCCTCTGCTTCATCCTGGCAGAAGACATCACCCATAGTGCACATTTCCTTCCAAGGCTTTCAGAGAGATCCCATAGGCCCTCTCAGGAAGAAAAGGAGGTCCCAGAGGAGCTCTTGCCTCCTTGCTGGGTCAACAGTATCCTCCTTCAGCACCTCCTCACCCCAAAACCTTTGCTCAAGCAGGGTACCCCAAGTCACTAAATGTTCCCTGCAGATGCCATGGGAAGCCTGTCACATTTTCTGCAAGCAAACCAGGGGCTGGGCCAAAGGACAGACACTTCATTTCAAAGTGCACTGCAGCCAAGCCAGGCAAGGCCATGGACAGAAGGGACAGGCTGGGAGAGCAGCTGGCAGATGACGGGAGGGCAACAAAGGCTATTTCCTAAGTATAGGCAGAATGGGACCTCCTACTTCCAGAATGTAGTTGTTAACCCAGGAACCTTCTCAGTTGGGGTTGAGGGATGAAGAGAAGGTGGCAGGAACATTAAAGGAGCAGTGGCAGCTTCGCCAGACCCTTAACTGAAATTAACTCTAGGGGAGGGGCACAGGGCACAGCAAGGCTGACCCATCCTCCTTTCCCATACCCAGGGCCTGACAGATCCAGCCCCATGTGCTCAAGAGGGAGGGAGGGGGACACCAAACAGAGAGAGAGAGAGGTCTACATCCAGAGGCTTTTGACCCCACCCACAAAAGGCACATTTTAATTGGTTTCCAAAAGTTCAAACCCCACAGCAGCACAGAGTTTTGGCATCTGGACAGGCAACAAAAACAAACATGGAGGGTTGATCCCCAAACATAAGCAGCCCAAAGCCCCGAGGCCTGCGGAGGGCCCACAGCCCAGAGGTGTGCGAGGAGTGTTCTCCCCACCCTTTCCCCAGCTTTCCATGCATTCACATGAGAGATGCTCAATGGGAAGAACAGAGGAAGAGAGCGGCGGGGGCCCGGGAAATCCACATCTCCATCTCCCTTCGTCCACATGGCCCTCGCTCTGCCAACTGCTGGAAACACACAGAATCGGGTCACAGCAGAGACGAGACCAGATCATGCTCCTTGCTCTCAAGGGAACAGACACGAGGCTCCAGTTACCTAGAACTGCAAACTGGGCAGCCTGGTTCCTGCCACAGCCCCAGTAATGCTAGGAGCCCTCTAGGGGCCGGAGACAGATGATGACGGGGACAAGGGTTTAGCCTTGGATGAAATGACTGTTGTTGTGGGGTAATAAAGCGCGTCCCAGATGCCACATCAAATTGTTGCTCACCCCGGCTCTGACTTGAGGGCTGAATTCTTTGTTCCAATTCCCTGGAGCCCCCAAAACTAAGGGACATGAAAATAGGCAGGTGGGAAAGACCCATGGAGGGTTCCCAAAGACACACAAATTGTACATGGAACCTGATGCCTGCAATGGGAGTCCCGAGGGCCCCTCTTCCAGCAACCCCCACAGAGGCAGGAGGCAGGGGGAGCAAGGAGTGACAATGGAGGACAGACAGCAGCCTGCCCGGGTGAGAGTGAGTTCAGTGGGAGGGAGGGCAGTGCAGGCCCGGTTTGGGCAGTGGGCCCACATGACCCTCCCAGGGGCAGGGGTGGGGAGGGCTACTTGGGGGGGTCAGGGGGGATCTGCAGCAGTGTGGGTGAGGTCTCCATGATCCGCACCAGCAGCCGGTCAATGTAGCTCTCCAGCTCCTGCACGTGCTCATCCCGCTGGCTCAGCTCCCGCTCCCGCTGCAGGAGCAGGCCGATGAGCTCGTCGTGGGTCAGGTGGTAGTACTTGGCCGACTGGTCCAGCACACTTGAGTCCTGAGGCCGGGGAGGACAGTAAGCAGGGCGGCCTGAGGCCTACCTGCCCACCCACCCACCAACACCCAGGTTTCACCCCTATAGGCCCCGGAGCGGCCTCTGTCTCCAATGCAAGAGACCACCTAACTGGCTTCAGGGCCCCAGCATGGGGGACTGGGCCTGTTCTTCCCTCCACCCTGCCCGGCACGCAGCTCCTGACCTCGGGCCGCCTGGCCGCTCTCCACCACACCACATGCCTGGCATCTTGTCAGGCCTCACCTTCAGCCTCTTGGCGTCCACAGTCTGGCCCACGTGGGGGGCTGGAGCCACAGGCTGAATGCCGCCGGATGTGACCGTCTTGAGCTTCTCCAGCCCGCTGCTCAGAGCTGTACTCAGACTGGAGCGGGGCTGCTTCCTGTCTGGGCTGCCCTCGGCGGGAGCAGCACTGAGCGGCTTCACGGGGTGGGGACTGCGGAGACAGAAAGGAGAGGCGTTATGGGGAGTGGGGAGCAGCATAACGGAAACAGGGGTTGGGGGGGCGCACCAGCACTTGGCTGCGGCTGCCCCGCACCACAAGGCCTCAGGGCAGCTGCCACCAGTGTTCCTCAGAAGGCCTTCCTCCCTCCTCCCTCACTCCTCTCCGTTTTACTCCCTCAGAAGGCCTGCCCCCCTCACAGGAGCAGCACAGCCTGGCCCACGACCTTCCTAGCACCTCCAGCCAGTCTCTACCAGGACCACCCGCTCTGCTTCCCTCCCTCTACCACACTGTAACCTTTCTCTAGGGGACTGACCGACCCTTCCAGGGTCCCCATTTTCCCATGACTCGGGATTCACAGGCTGTGGGGCTTTCAGTGCTAAAACCTAGAAAGACTTGGGCAACCTGGGACACTTTGCTGTTGTCTCTAAACCTGGTTTTTTCCCATCAGCGTTGACAATGGCCCAAGAAAGACACCTGGCTATCTGCCCTCAGTCATGCCCCAGCTCCCCTTCCTCTTTACCCTGCCCCACCAGAGCACACAGACTGCACTGTCTCTAGAAGTTCTTACCTTTTGTTGATTCCTCAACCCATCAGAATGGGGACCTTGGCCCCGCCAGCCCAGCACAAGTGCTCCTGCCGAGCCTACCAACCCCTCAGCTCTCTACTCACTGACCTCTCTGTGGACTTGACTCCTGGACCACTCCTTGCTTTGGCCTGCTCTCCCTCATTTCCCACCAAGACCTCCATCTGGTTTTCTGATTTCTCGCAGTCTCTTCTCAGTCTTAACCACTAGCCTGCCCTTGGATCCCTTCCTTTCCCACCTTGGCCCCCACCGCCCCTAATGTCATCCCCAGCCTGGACCTCAGCCCCGAGCTTTAGGCCCACACAGAATTGGAGGCTGGCTGGCTCCACTCTGGGTCCAGCTTGGGTGCACTGCACTGGCCTCTACACCTATCCTCTCCTGCGTCCCCCCTCCCAGCAGCGTATGGCTCCAGCCAGACCCTCGGGAATCCCTGATTCCCAGGCCTCAGCTCCAGGGCTAACAAACATTGAACCTGCTGCCTCTCAGCTTCTCTCGAACTGGCCCCTGTGCTCCCCGTCAGTGCTGGCTACACTACCTTTGGCTACACCTGCTGCCACTCATCTCCTCGGAGAGAGTCTTGCCCACCTCCCACCACTGCTCTATTCTAATGGGAGGGTGATCTCAGCTTTTTCGATGTTCAAACAGCCTCCACTGGCTCCCTATCAGATAAGAAAACACAGTCTCTAATAGAATCAGGCCCTGCCCTTTCTTCCTGGGCCTCCACACCACACACTGCTGCAAACCAGGAAAAGCGCTCTTTCTCACCTTCAGGCGGTCCCTCTGCACAACACCTGCCCTTCGCCTGCTGGCCTTTCGCCTGCTGAACGGCTAACTCCTCCTCGTGTTTCAAGGCCATGCAAGGCCACTTCCTCTAGGAAACTTTCCTGATTCCCCTAAGCTGACTACAGGGACCCCGCTCTGGGATCCCTCAGCACCCCAGACCTGTGACAGGTATGCAAACTACTAGCACCGGACCCCAAATCAATTAACCTTTCCCCAAGGGACCTCTTAAAATCTATGGTCAATTCACAGAGCTTTTGGACTATTTAGAAGTAGGAAGCAAAATGATTTAGGCCAAGGCTCTGGACTCTGTCAGAAGAGGGACAGCCCAGACCCAGAGAAGCCAGTTACGTTACTCAGGATAGGGCCATGGATCCCGGGGACGAGTGGCAGAGAGGCCAGGCGGGGGGCCGACAACAGGGAAACCAACGTCTCTCCTCCCACCTAGGAGTCTGCATTAGGGACAGGAGCTTAAAAGCTGCTCTCCTGTGCCCGGGGAGGGAAGGAATAGCCGGATGGCGTACGGAAACCCTGAACGGGTCCTGAGCTCTCAATCGGATTGGCCCCACACATAGGAGGGACCCTGGACCCCTGGACCCCATAGCTCTTAAGACCATTTCCTCCTCTGAGAAATGGGGACAGCTCTATTTGGCCCATCTACTTGAGGATGAAGGGACATGCTGAATTCAGACATGAAGCCCACTATAAAGGGAATGAAGCTTCCCAAAGGTAGTTAGTATAATCAGAAGTGAGACTAGAATACAGCAGGGCCAGCTAAGGATGCTCTCATCACTGCAAGGACACCGTGACCACCTCCTCTTCCCAACCTCCGGGGACGGCTTCACTACGTGCCACTGGCACAGCAGCCCAGGGTAGCCCAGACTCTTTCCCTCACACTTCTCATGTATCAGCAGGGGTCCCCTCAGCCAGCTCCTCATGGGTGCCTGTCTGTCTCCCTCACTGGATTGGGAACTGTCCGGGCACACCGTGGGGACAGCGTCCCTCATCTCTTTGCAGTGTCTAACACAGCGTGGAGGTGCAGTGAACTGGGGTGACTACATGTATGAGCTGGCAGGCAGGGGCTCCGGTCCAGGACCCCCACCCTGCCCTGCTCAGCAGAAAAAGCAGCTGCCTCTGCTCCCCCCACTTCTTCAGTCAGGGCTTCTAGGGTACTAGCCTCCTTCTGGACTTCGCTGCTCCCATCAACTCCAAGCGACCTGTGTCTCCTGACCTCAGCTCTGGTCATCCCTCACCAATCAACCTAGTGGGGAGGTCACAGCCTCATCATTCTTCTTAAACAAACCAATGCCACAGTGACCACAATCAGAGGCATCCAGAGGCCACGCAGGCCCGTCTTAAGCACCTCGGGACCACTCCCTGAAAAGGCGCAGACGCAAGCCAATGAGGCACCTGATGGGGCTACAGACCGCTTCTTCTGGGGGCAGGGGCGTGGTCATTTAATTTTTCTTTTTGTCCTCTAAACAGCTCTTGGGCTTTCTCTCCAACAGAGCTCGGTACCAGTCCCTCCTCTGGCTCTCTGCCTGCCACAGCCCACTTCCCTGTGGCCCCCATCTGACAAGCGTCACTGCCCCGGCACCCAGCGCCCCTCGCAGCCAAGGCCCTGAGCTCTTCTCCCCCTTCCCCTGCCAGCCCACACTGGCTCTGCCCACTCCATTCCTCACTCCTTGCACCTCAAACTTTGCGGGGCACTCTGCTTGGCCAAGGACCCTGAGAGGAGACAGCTTCCAAGCCAGTCTTACTGAAGGGCTCCATTCTTCAAAGCTTCCCCTCTCCTGCCTTTTGGGGAAGAAATGCTCCATCTGCCCCTGGAAGGGCTGAAGCTGGAATGTGAACACCTCGGCCCCTGGGCTGATTTGCCCCCTTTGCCCACCTTCTCCTGCAGAGTCTTCTCAGGGTGACAGCTCACCTGGCGCTGGACTGTGGCTCCTCAGCTGGTCGTGTCTCCAAGGGCAGAAGCACAAGCGGGGAGGCTGGGGTGGTTGCAGCGTGGTCTTCCCCGGGTGGGGCAGGGGAGCCCCCGGGGGAGGAGGCTGGCTCCCCAAGGGTTGGGGAGGAAGAAGTCAGGGGCTGAGCTCCAGGCAGAGGGGAACATGGAGGGCTGGGCCCCCCATGATGGTGGCCGGCCCAGGGCGGGAGAGGGGGTGGTGGAAAAGCAGGCTCTGGGGGAGTGGGCAGCTCTTCTGGACCAGAGAGGATGGAAGGTTCCCTGGACCCTGGAGGGGATACGGACGGGAGACTGGGAGGGTCTTGACTCTCCTGAGATAAGAAGGGGTTCAAGGCGTCCTCCTCTGATGCCCAGAGGTCAGTGTGTTGGGAGCTATCTAGCAGGGGTCCAAGCCCCTCTTCTACTGGTCCCTGCCTCCGGACCTCAGGACCCTCAGGGCTTTCTCCTTTCTCTGGAGCCCCCCAGATCTGCGGACTCTGAGGAGCCACGCTCTCTGAGTAACAGGGTACGGGGGTGGGACCCTCAGGGCAGCTGATGGGCGGGGATAAGGGCGGCTGAGGCACGGGAGGGCCGGCACCCTCCGCTATATGTTGCAGGCCTGGCCCACCCGGCAGGGTTCCGGAAGAATGGCTGTCAGACTCTGCCCCTGGTGTCTGGCCCTCCTCCTTGGCCTCCCGTGGACCAGCAACCAGTGGACTCGGAAGGCTGTCTTCTCCTCCTGTCTCTGCCCCCCTGCTTCTCAGCCCCCCTGCAGCAGCCGCCGCCACTGCCACCTCCTCCTCCTTCTCCTGGGAATCTGAAGGCGTGAAGAGGCGTGGTGGCTTGGGAGGTGGCCTGCCGGGCTGCGGCTCCCGGTCCGACACCTGCTCCGGTTTGTGCTCCGGCTCCTGGGGGATAGGCCCCTTGCTCCCTCCAGGGCTCACAGGTTCTGGTGACTCTGGCTCCATCTGCTCATCAGACTCTCCCCGCAGGACTGGTGAGGACGTCTCGGCTACAGGAGAGATGGTGACCACATCCCAGGGCCATGAATCGTTGACTGTATTGAGCTCGTGCGAAAGCTGGCCTTCGCCTCGGGAGGCTGCCTCTTGGACCTCAGGGGCGTCGTCGGGACCAGGCAGCCTTTCCCACACACTGATCACTTCAGGGGAGCTAAACAGAGACGTCGCACTGTCTGCCGGACTCTGCCCTGCATCCCCTCCAGGGGCTGGCGGCTCCCTGTCTGCTTCCGAGTCTGCGGCTCTTGGCTGTAGCTGGGCGGATGAAGAGGGCAGGCCGGCCCCAGCTGGCCCCAGGGGCCCCAGCTCAGCCACACTGCTGCTCCAGCGGTCCAGTCCCAAGTCCAGAGGAAGCTTGGGCTCCAGCCACATGCTGCTTCCACCTCTTCCTCCTCCCCCAGGGGCCCCCCGGGGCTCGGCCGCCTTCACTGTCACTGCCCCGCGGCCTTGCTCCTGCGGCCCAGTCACCTCCAGCCCCACTCCTCCTGCAGGGGCCAGGATCTTGCTCCTGGCCTCTGGACGCAGCCTGCTGGCGGCAAAGACGTTGAAGGTGTCGTCCCACTCAGGCGGGGCTTTCCCAGGGGAGGCCAGGGGGGTGGGGCTGGGCCTTGAGGCACTGGGGAGAGAGGGAGCAGGTGAAGGACAGTTTAGTGCTATGTCGGCTAGG